CCGCGGCGTCGGAGCGGCGCCGGGCGCCTAGGGCGGGCACGCGGCGTCGGCGCCCTGCAGCTGCGGCCACACGCGCAGCAGCTCGGCGGGCTCGTAGTGGTGCACCATGACGAGGCGCGCGAAGCGGCAGCGCTCGAAGGGCACGCGCTGCATGTTGAAGAGCCCCGGCGGCGGCGGCGCCGGGCGCACGCGCAGCGCCCGCAGGCACAGCCCCACGAAGGCGTCTTCCATGTTGATGAGCGGCAGGCGCTGCGCCGCGCCGAAGACGCCGCGCGCCACGTCGCCCGAGAGCACGTACGCGGGGCCGCCGCAGTACGGCGGGTACGTGGCCTCGGCGAACACCTCGCGCGGCACGTACCACTTGTAGAGCTTGCTGCGCAGCGGCGCCGTGCCCCGGTACACGTGGCCCGTGACGAAGCCCCGCTTGGGCGGCAGCAGCAGCCGCCGCACCAGGTAGGCCGGGTTCAGGAACACGTCCTGGTCGGCCTTGAGCACGTAGGCGGCGCCGGGGCAGTACTTGCTCACCCACTCGAGCCCCATGAGCGTCTTGAGCGTGAGGTTGTTGTAGGTGTCGAGGAAGTCCTGCTGCAGCAGGTCGCCGTAGCGCGCGCTCTCCTCGCGCAGCAGCCGCTGCAGCGGCGCGCCGAACACGGGGTGCACGCCGGTGAGGAAGAGGCGCACGACGCGCGCGCCGCCCGCCGCGCTCTCGTTGCCCCACGTGCGCCGCACCGCGTGCCGCGCCGCCGTGTCCTGCGGCAGCGAGGCCACCAGCAGCACCAGGAAGGGCGCCTGCCCCGCGCACTTGTGCGGCTCGTTGAGCAGGAAGCGGTAGGGATACGGGTAGGGCGGCCGCAGCGGGTGCCGCGGGGCCCGCGTGGTGCCGTTGGCGCCCGGCGCTTCCCGCCACGCGAAGGCGGCCGGAGGCTCCGGAGGCTCCGGAGGCGCCGGCGGCGGCTCCTGCTGCAGCCGCAGCCCCAGCAGCGCCAGCGAGAGCAGCACGGAGACCAGCAGCAGCCGCAGCGGCGCCGCGCACTTCATGGGCAGCGCCGGGACCGACCTGCGGGAGACGGGGCATGTGAGAGCCGAGCCGGCTCCGGAGCTGGGGATGGGAGATGGGAATGGGAGCCCAGGAGCCTGCAGGATGGGGAGCCGGAATGGGCTTGGGAACCAGGCAGGGACGTGGAGTGCATGGGAGCTGGGAATGGGAGCTGGGAATGGGAGCTGGGAATGGGAGCTGGGAAGCCTGCGGGATGGGGAGCCAGAATGGGGATGGGAACTAGGCAGGGACACAGAGTGTACAGGAGCTGGGAAAGGGAGCTGGGAATGGGAGCCGGGAATGGGATCTGGGAAGCCTGCAGGATGGGGAGCCAGAATGGGGATGGGAACCAGGCAGGGACAAGGAGCGTGCAGGGAGCTGCAGGGAGYGGGGAGCATTGCAGGGATGCAGGGAATGTGCGGAGACAGGGAGCGTGCAGGAACAGGGAGCACATGGGAACACAGGGAGCAGGCAGGGACACAGGGACCTGTGTGCAGCACACAGGGATCCAGGGAGCACAGAGGGACCTGGGAAGCAGAGAGGGAGCCGGGAAGAGCACAGGGAATGCGCAGGGAGCGCCCGGCCCCCCCCCCAGCCCTCAGCATTCCCAGCGCGGGAGCTGGGATTTGCCGGCGGAGGCGGCGCGCAGCCCAGGGCTGATAAGAGCCGCCAGGCACGATAAGAGCCCAGGGACCTTTTGCCTTGCGGGGCCGCCGCAGGTGGGGCCAGCACAAACAGGGAGCCCGATAGCAGGAGGCCGTGCACCCCGGAGCACGCTCCRGGGTGTGGGAATGCCGCACGCTCCGGGAGCACGCTCCGGGCTGTGGGAATGGCTCATGGGCTCTGGGAGCACACTTTGGGGTGTGGGAATGCCACACACCCCAGGAGCACACTCCAGGATGTGGGAATGCCACACACCGCAGGAGCATGCTCCGGGATGTGGGAATGGCTCATGGGCTCCGGGATGTGGGAATGCTGTCCTCCAGGACCACACTCGCCACACACCCCGGGCTGTCACCATCTGGGACTCGGGATCATCCCGGACGGTCACCCAGTTCCAGCGGCTCCCGGGTGCCCATGGGAAGGGCCTGTCCCAAGAGAGCAGGAGCCGGGATCCTAGCGGAGCCAGACAGGAGCCCAGGCCAGGACTGCGGCGCTGGCGGCTGGTCCCGGGTGACCCCGCAGGATGTGGCCGGGGGTGTCGGGAAGGTCCCACACAGGGGGATCCCCAACCCCCTTTTTGGGGGGGTCAGGATGCCCCAACCCTCTTTTGCGGTAGGTTGGCTGCCGGATGCAGCGTTGCTTCCCGATCCGGGACTCCCGGAGCTCCGGGGCTGCGGAGCTGTCTCCTGCCGGGGCTGAGTCGGGTCTCCCAGGGGAGCAGCGCTCGGTCCCATCCCGGGCTCCCTGCTCCCTCCCGGACTCCCTGGTCCCTTTGTGGAGCCGCTCGGTCCCATTCTCGGCTCCCTGCTCCCTCCT